ATCAGGCGGAACGGAGCCGCTTTCTCGGTGCAATGACGGAGCGACATGGAATCAGGTGGGCAATTACCAAGGCACAGACTTCTTCCTCTGGTTGTCTTGGTATAGTACAGAGAGTCGACACTATAGAGGCTGTCCCATGAGGTCAGTCAGCCTCGTCGTTACTGGGCTGCATTTGGTCCAGATATAGCCCCGTCCTTCACTCAGACATGCCCCCCTTCCCTTCTTTTTATCATCCGTGTTGAACCTGCTGGACCTTTTTGTCTAACCAGAATGTTGAAATGCTCTGGTGACAGAATATGCTCTTTCAGACCGTCCACGTATGTTTATGTATATTAACCGTACGTCAAGGAAAAGCACACCGTCACGACCACTTACTGTCAAACCCATCTCAGGGCTCGCCCCAGATCTCGTCCGCAATCTGCCTGATCAGCTTCAACTTCTTCTCTTGGTCCTCATCACTCAGAGGATATCCACTCTCGTGAGTACTGAACCCGCACTGGGGAGAGATGCCGATTCTCTTGAGGGCCTCTTCCCTCGATTGGTTCGATCCCTCGGCGACAAAATCCGCCGCTTTGTAGATCCGCTGCTTCATCTCTTCCTTGTCTTCCAGTTGCCTCAACTTGGTACTGATACAGCCGATAATCACGTTCTTGTTCTTCGGCAAGTGTCGGAGTGGTTCGAATCCACCCGCACGTTCAGTGTCGTATTCCAGGTAGAAGGTGTTGACATTGAGGTTCTGGAACAATTTGCTAGCAATAATGTCGTACGCACCCTCGGCGAAATGTCGACCACCGATGAAATTTCCACGGCACAAATGGACACCCGTGTGCATGTCAGACGGACATTTGGCTATCGAGTCATTGTAGAGCTTAATGTAGGCGTCGAGAAGGTCGTCCACAGACCCGATATTGTCGGGATCCTGGGCCCACCCGTCTCGGAATTGCTTGGAGCAAAAGTCTTTGTTGGCGCACGATGATCAGTATCTTATGTCAGACAGACGGGCACAGGCAACAGATTCTTACATGCCAGGTTCGGGTCATCGAATTGGACATTCCTCAGACCGGCTTCATACAGAACCTCGAGTTCTCTTGAATATGCCTTGGCAACGTCGCTAAAGTACTCGGCATCGTTCTTGTATGCTTCAGGCGTGTATGCCCGTCCTTGTTTGTACCTCATATGGAACCACTTCGAGGGCACGACAATCAGTTACGATGGATTCCAGCGGAAGCTGTGACGCCACCTGCGTGCTAATAGGAAAAACATACCGACGGTGTAATCATGGTGAGCTTGATATTGCCCCAGTCCTCCTTTGGAACGAAAGCCTGGACCAGGCGAAGCTCATGGAGATTTGACTGTGTGCCGGCATGTCTGATCTTGGTTCCGGCAATCACACTATCCCCAGGCATGACCTTCCGATCTTTCTCGATCAAAGATACCACATCGGGATGGTAAAGACGGAACATGCTCGCCTCGGCATCCTGTAAGCGTATTGTGCCTTCGAGTTCATCCCAGAACAACCCCCAAAAGCGGGTACGGTTATACTCGCCCGAAGTAACGGCTTTGAAGCCCAACGAGAGCTGAGTCTTGACTATTTGGCCGATCGACTCCTTTTCAACCGCAGGGAGGCCGGCTTCTTCTGGTGACAGGTTCTTGTCCCGGATTGCTGCCCGGACATCGAGGAGCTTTTGAGGGCGGAGGAGCGAACCCATGTGCTCTGCCCGGAAAGGGGGAGCTCGGTGCAAGGTTGAGTTAGCCATGTTTTCACAGAGATAGGGACTGTCTAATCGTCGATGAGAAGAAAGCCAGTGGCACGAGAACAGGAACTGTCAGAGCACAAAGCAGAATCCTCCATGACAAGCCCTGCAAGCCAAGGCCTCCCCGCCGTTGAACAGAATTTCCCCCCGCAATTTTGAAGCCACAAACTAACCGTCTTTGGAACGAGAACATTGCCGCTTTGTGAAAAGGGCACGGACCGAGAGATTCCAGTGCTTATTTGTCTGCCAAACCTACTCAGACAACGAACTTTTGCAATCTATTGATGGTACATCATCAAGAAGCTGCGAACAAGGCAGACAGCTGGTCCATCTGCTGGCAGCCCCTTTAAATGGCTCCCTGTCTTCGACGGCGCGGAGACGTGCTCTCGACTTGGAAAAATTAATGGCGTCTTACAAAGCGTCCTACTCCCAGCCTCCATCTCGTCCTCGCAACGCCATCCACACGGCGACTTCCGCTCCGCCTGCCCCAGGCGAGAACCACACAACGATATCGATTGTGTTTCTTATTAGTAACCACCGCCAGAGCCTGCAGAGAATGCCTTTGACACAAATAGAAAGATTCGAGTGGTGACCGTGCCACATGGACAATTGACTTCTCCACTCACTTCTATATCCGATGTTTCTCGCTTTCTGTTCATGTGGTCAGTTCACGTACGCAAATGGGTCAAGATGTCTCAGCCATAAACTTACCCAGCCTGGAATAAAGCATGTACAGCGCCATCTGATTGCATTCTGGAGTCCCGGTAATGGTGACCAATCTTTCATTGCTGTTGTCCTGCGGTTCGTTGATCTTGATCACACTTCCGCTGAGATGCCGGATTTCATTGATTTTGGCGCCGCCTTTGCCGATGATTGCACCGACCATGTCGTTAGGGATGAAGATCTGCTGCGTGATTGGCTGTCCCGGCATCGCATGGGCCGGCTGAGCAGGTTGTCCATGAGCAGCAGGCTGAGGCGGTATTTGGCCATATGCTGCGGGTTGCTGTGGACCAACCCCATAGCTCGGAGTTCGTGGTGTCGCTGCTGCGTACGGTTGAGCAAACTGAGGATATGGCTGCTGCGGAGTACCATGCATCTGCGGGGCACCATAGGGTTGAGGGGGCAATCGTTGTGGTGGATGTGTATTGTGCCTCTTGTACATGTCTGGATGGCCATATTGACCCCCGGCTGGTTGTGGAACATATGGCACAACCTGCATACCTCCGGGGACAACTCCTGCTGGACCACCACTTCTTGTGGCATAAGCGGACGCAGCAGGGCCACCGAAACGTTCCGTCAATTGCTCAACCAATGTAACAGCAATGTAGTACGTGGCAATGTGAACTGCATCCGCAACGCCTAGTACAACTAGAGAGCGCTCGGTAGAAAGAGGCAGGCATGAGTCCGAGGCATTGAGGCGAGCCCCCGAGGCTTCCTGGATTTCTCTGATGCGCACACCAGACTTTCCGATGATGGAGCCGATAAGGATGTGGGGAATGAGGAGTCGCAGTGGGTAGGTCTTGGATTGCGCAGTTGATGGAGCTTCGAGAGGTTCGTTGTTCAAGGTGCGAATGATCAGGCCGAAAGCCTTTGCGACGGCGTCTTGAGCACCACTAACAGTCAAGATACGCTCGACTGCGCCCCTTGAATAATCACTCACAGTGCACTTGGCACCAGAAAGTCTTCGGATCTGGGTGACATTCTCGCCCCCTTTGCCGATACAGGTTGCAGCTTCAGCACTTGAAATGACGGCACGGATATGGATCCAGTTCGTCTCGTCTTGCGGCGGCATAGATGGTGTCTGAGACGTGGCTCGCTCGTTCTGGGAAGCAGCACTTTGCGACTGCGTCTCCGGCGACGCAGCGGCTGGTGCTCCCTTGGTTCCTGCTGCTGCAACGCCTTCAACATGTGCTTCGGATGACCCATTTGTGACAGGCGCTGGCAATGGGTGCTTTTCGTTGGGCTTTGGGCCTTCAGCTGGTCCGCTGTTGAGGGTAGCAGAGCCCTCGGCTGCTGCATCTTCTCTGACTACCTTGTCTAACGCTGGGCGTTTGGCGTCTGGTAAGTCAGTGGGGGCAGAAGGTGAAGAAGGATCTTCCAAGGGCCGTTTTGCTGAAGACATGGCGTGAGAGGTGGGTGAGGCAGACATATCGCGGGTTTCGAGGCGGCTGCCCAAGAAGATAGTGTGCAAAGTAAATTTCTTTCTATTATTGTTCTCGGGGAGATAGTTCTTTTTATGTACACCAAGGGTGGTCGAAGGAAAACTTGCTGGCGTAGGGGAGAGGGTCGAATTGCGAATGCCAGTGCGGAACGCGCCAGGGATAAGATTGTGTATGTGAAAAGAGGATGATTTCAGATTCGTGCTGGGGTTGGCTGTGAACTGAAGAGATATGCTGTGCTCTGCAATGGCTCGATGACGTGCAAGAAAGGACGTGTGGAGGTGAAACTGAGGGCCAAAGTGCGAGAGGCTCGGAGGGAGAAGATAGTGATGGTGCTGGTGGATGAGGAGATGTGGGTGAAGGTGAATTTGTGTAAAGCAACGCCTTTGAAGATGGTCCTGATCCCCTCTGTCCTTCCTGTATCCAGCAAGAGAAGGGTGTATCTGTACTTAACTCAGACGCCCAAGATCGTAGGAGGAAGGACGCGACGCGACGAGAAGCAGGCTCGGATTCGGAACGATGGGCAACGACACTTTGAACTCAGGCGGCAGCACAGGGGAGGAGCTTGAAAGTGCAGGTAGAGACTGTAGCAGAGTCCAGGTGGTAAAGGGTCAGGGGAGGAACCGCAGTGCAGAAATACAAGAGAGGACGAGCGAAGGAGGTTCTTGAGGCCCCGAAAGAGTCTGAAGAGATGAGGAAATGGAGGAAGGGTTGAGGTTGAAGTGATCGCAGGACGATCGATGGCCTCCTTGAAAACGCAGAAGTTGCAAGGTTGACAAGGGGGATTGGGGGCGATGATGGCGTGGTACCTCCGTGACCTCGTACGGGCGGCAAGCGAACTGGGGAAAGATGAATAATGAACAAATTTCGAAGAAGCACCAAACGGCGCGGGAGGGGAAATTTTGATTGCATTATTGCCAAGCTGCGCGCCATCGCGAATCCCGTCACGTGATATTAGCCGGTGTCCTCGGGTGATACAAATACAGCAATTTCGTCTCATTTCCAAGACGGCAAATATTGTCGACAGTACAGATTCCTGATCTCTCTAATACCACATAGTATGTGGCGGAACCTTCTGTCCAATTCATCAACCCTTGATGCCCTTGATAATTCCCTTTTGTTTCTCTCCCAACACCTCCTTCAACATGATGGCAGCGTCCTTACGACGACGTGCCTTTGCCTGCCATCGCTGCTTGTCCTCTACCGAGATCATATTCAATCCTCCATTCTGACTCGTCCTGAATCCTCGGGCCGAACGCGTGCTGCTGCTAAACTTAGAATCTGGCGTATGATAGACACTGCCTGCACTTTTCGGTGTGGCCACGCTACCCATCTGTCGGCTATGGGGAGGAGTGCTTGGGGCGCCGCTGGAAAAGTCACCATTGTTGTCCGTTGAAGTTCCAAGGGACACACTCATTTTTTTGAGCTGCGCTTCTAAAACGTCGACATCTGCGCTCTTCTGTTCCGCCATTGACATCATCTTTTCCACAGTTTTGGTCACAGCTTCCACCGTCGGCTTCTTGCGTGAAGCCGCTCGACCCAGAGCTCCTGGTTGGCTGGTGCCATTGGCTGGAGCTATTTGTGCGAGCTTCGCGCGAAGAACGGAAAGCCCATCTTCAACCTGAATCATCTGTGTTTGCACACACGTAAACGTTTTGCGAAGATCATGCTGGATGGAAGCCTGCTCGGCAGTAAGAGGTGCGGTCACTGCACCGTCGCTAGCTGACAGACTATGCAACGTCTTGCGTATGGATATGAGCTTGTTCCTCAAGTCGAAGACCTCGCGCTTCATCAGAGCTTGTGCCTGTTCAAATTTCTCAATGTAGTCTCCTACACGGCAGTCCGCCAGCATATCTGAAAGTACCGCGTATCCTTCGTGCAGTCTTGCGATATCTGTCAATAGAAGCTCATCATTCAACGCGTCCAGTGGTGTCTCAGACTTGAGCACGGCTGGCCATGACTGATTGGTTGCTTCGGGTTGCTGGTATTGCAGGAACGCTGAGAGCGAGCGGCAATTGATACCTAGGGTGTATACCATTGAGTTAATATCCGAGTACAGCCGCTCGATCTGTGCCGGTATGCCAGTCTTTTGTGTCTCCTCGCGGGGTCGGGGTTGATATGTGACGAAATCGTCCAATGTTTCAGAGGGAGTAATGGGCCTCTCCAGCTCCTGGCGTAGCCTTTCATCCTCGTCATCCTCGAGTGGCGCAAGCTCCTCAGCATCCGCTTGTGCCTTTTCCCGTGTAAGAGCTTCGCGACGAGCCTTCTCCTTGGCTGCCTCTTCCTCCCTGGTCCTCGCAGCTTGGGCGGCTAGTCCAGATCTCTGGTATTCGGCTTTTCGTTGATCGATGATGGATCGAGGATGCGCCGGTGCACTAACCGATCTCGAGGCATCTGCTCGAAGACCATCGATCGAAAAAGCCTGCCTCACGGGGCTAGGCGATCGTGGACTTTCTTGTGGTTTGGGGGGTGCGAAAACAGGCCCAGCACCAACTTCGCCGAAGAGCGGTCTGGCGGGTTTGGGAGCTGCGGAGGCTGGAGTAACCTTTGTAAACAACCCACCCGTAGGACTTGTTTCTGGACTCCTGTCGCCGCTCTTGAACGAGCTCTCCGGAGATGTCTCTAAATGCTCTGTTGGTTCCTCTGTGACGTCCTCCTCTGGACTCTCCTCGACTTCCTCTCCTTCGTCCTCGAAGTCGGAACTGAAGTCATCTTCGTCGTCGTCTGGTAGTTCTGGGTTGGCCTCTTCTGCCTGACCTGCCCTGGGCACTGGAAGGAAGTCTGGTGGTAGAGGTGCGTCGTCTGGCGGTGTTTTCGATGTATGTGATGGAGCCGATGTCTCCCCCGATACATATCGCGGCTTGCTGACGGTATCCGGAGGAAGCGGTGCCTCAGGAATGGTCTTGAGATCAACAGGCTCGTCCTCGCTCGCAGGTTCCTTCTTGATCTCTGGACGTGCTCCCGTAGAAGTGAAAGTAGATGCTGGTACGCTCTTTTGTACGGCGGCTGGTGCCTGAGTTATGGGTTGAGAGCCAAACATGGCCAAATGAGAGGGCTTTGGGGTTTCTTTGGGAGTTGTGGAGGACAAGGGCTGGAAGGACCAGCCCGGAGTGTTATTTTGGGCCAATGGAGTTGTGCTTTGATTCGGTGGCGGGCCGAATATGGTGGACACAGCTGGCACGGGAGTAGTTTTGGGTTGCGTTAGGGTGGAAGGAGGAGTGACCAACGTCTGAGGAGGCTTCATTGAGATCTCGGGTGAAGATCTCTGGGTCGACATATCCTGAATTCTATCAGAATCGGCCTCACTCGGTCCGCTTTCCTCGTCCATTTCCTCTTCTTTGTTGTGGGTGGGCGACAGTGCAGATTTATTATCGCTTAGTATGTCGCCAAATGAAGATCCAAAGGAAAAGCCACTTGGTTCTTTGGGCGGTGGTAGGTCGTCTTTCGCCGTCCCATCCCCCCGGAATGAGGACTGCAACTTGAAAGCATTTGCCGACCCAAAAGAGCTGAGGGGATCACCAGGCTTTTTGGTTGCAAAGGGTGAATCTTGGGATTTATTGGAGCTGAACACATTCCCTGGTGCTTGAGCAAAGGGGGCCGTCTTACTTGCGGCACCGAAAGGGCTTTGGCTGCTTTGTCCTGAGGTGTCTCCCGCAAAAGAAGCAAAGCCTCCTCCCTTTGAGAACGAGGCAAAGCCTGAGTTGCTGGAGTCAACCCCAGCTTTCGCAAATGGGCTCGAGGTGGGAGCGGGACCAAAGGCAGAAGTCTGTCCAAATGCAGGAGTCCCTCCGATCGTCGAGGGTTGTCCGAAAGCGGACGGTCGACTTCCCAAGGCACTCGCTGATCCAAAGGCAGGGGGATTGGCCGCTCCCATGGGTGTAGCTGAACCAAATGCAGCCTTTCCAAAGGCCGGTGTCGATGCTGCACCAGCAGTAGAGCCAAATCCCGTACTGGCCCATGAAGGTTTGTCAGACGTGATCTGGGAGGAAGTCCCAAATGGTTTTGCAGACGGGGCACCGAAGGGTGTAGGAGCTTTGGGCATGCCAAAGCCTCCACTTGAAGATTGTCCGAAAGGACCAGTAGAACGTGGTTCACCAGATGTAGAGGAGGCGGCAGCGGCAGCGGCTGGTGCTGGTGACGGTGACCGAACGGCAGGTGCTGAGCCTTCCTTTGCGGCTTGTACAGACGCGAACCCGGAGAAAAGAGTCTTTGAACGGACTGATTCGTTGTATATGATCCACCAGCCCACTAGAATACCTTCATTATTCAAAACGAGCAAACACGGTACAGGTCCAGCTGTCTCTTCGATTTCCGGGTCTGAGGGGATCGGATTCGGAACTTTTTCAGAACTAGACAAGTCCACTACCATACCGATAGGCGAAGTGTCCTGGAAAGTTGTGGATAGGGGAAGCTGAGCGCGTCTCGTGTCATCTTCGATCGTGGTGAAAGTAAATGCTGAAACAACAGGATCTTCTTGTGACAAGGCTTGGTCCGACTTGGAGATCAGCCCGACGTCCGTAGCGGTCGTGGCAGTCACTATTAACAAGTCTTGAATATGGGGCGGAAAGTTTCTCAGTCTCGAGATGAAATGGAAAGCAGGTAATCTGGCCATTCCGAATGGTGGCAGGATCTCTGGGAGTTTCTGGAATGTGTAGTTTGTCGTTTTAGGCTCCCTCTGCACGATGTAGTACTCTGATGGCGGAATTTCATCGCCTGTACTGTTGGGCGTATAAATGATGAAGAAGGTATCATTCTCGAGCCATGAGATGCCAGAGACGTGCGAGTCTGCGGGAATGCTTGTTGACTTGGGAATGTTTGCAACCACAGTACCATCCGGTTTCATCTGGACTGCTGTCCCGTCCGCCATGCCTGCAACCAATTGCTTGCCCCTATTACTCCACGACAGACAGCTTGCACCTGTCTTGAGCACATTGCCTTCACTGCCAGATTTAATACCTCCAGCCTTCAAGTCCAATAGCATGAGATCGCCATTGGCAGTGATGATAGCGAAGAGCTCCGCAGATTCGACAACCGGATTTGGCGCAACTGCTCGCAGGTTCTGACCGTTGATGGGTATCTCCAACGCAGGAGTTAGGTTGCCCTTCTGCAAGGTTTCGGCCTGGAAGGCTGCGATTCCCGCTGAGGTCGAGACAACGAGAACGCTCTCATCGCAGGAAAATACGAGATGAGAGACTCGCGGATATGGTAGCCTGATCTCTGGTTGAAATTGCCTCGTCTGGCTCTTCTCAGGGGGTGGAGAGCGGAAAGCTTCTCGGATCTTAGAAGTAGATGTGATGTAGACGGCATCCGGCCCTGCAGCAGCTAGCAGGCCTCTAGCTGATGCGACACTGAGTAATGACGACGAGGGAGGGGGAAGACTGTCGGCAGGCCATGGTGTTGGAAGCAGCTGAACTTTCGACTCGCCATTCAGGGCAGCAAACCCCAACTCGTTTGTCTGAATTTCTTGTAATTCTGCTCCCTCTTTGACATTTACACCAAGAGAACCAACAGGTGAGCCGCTTGACACGGCGTTCGAAAAACTAAACGCCATTCTCAGTCGCGTTAGTTCGGCCGATAGCGACCGTCTTGCGTCAGTGGGCGAGAGGGGGGATGAGACATGCGTGTTTGATAGATTTCGTCTTGGGGTTGGTGTCGTGAAGGTAAAGGAATGTCGCAGGAGTGCCCTGGGCCTCCAAACCGATGGGGTGTTCTTGGGTTCAGCAATTTTGAGGAACAGTCATAGAGACTTAGGCAGCGAGGGAAATCCGCATCATTTCTTGATGGGACAAAAAGGCGGTGCGTAACTGTTGACCCAACGAGGCGACAGCCTGCGGAAACCAAATAATTTGAAAAGTCGCGACGAGGCATTGCAATATCGCGTTCGTGTGCGACACCGTAGTTTACGGCAAATCAGTGGGACTGCAACTGCACATGCGACAGATGACTGTGGCGGCGATTGTGACTCTGGACTGTGGGTGATCAACCCCAAACCCTCAACCCTTTACCGACTCGCCGAGCACAAGATCCCCACTGGCACCACCACAACCGGGACTCCAACTACGATGTTCAACTACAAAACCCCCACTGGTCCCTTGTCGTCCTTACTCTCCTTGTCTACGCCGATCGCCTCGTATCTAAGGCTTGTCTTTGAGGTTCTCGTTGCCGCCACTGAAGGCTCGTCCATATTGATTCATGAGACACAAGACGAAGTTTACAAAGTTTTCAGTCATGGAACCCTTCTTTCCTGCGTTTAGCTGCCTGGGACAAAATTCACATGCGATTTACAACACATAGCAGCGAGGTTCTTGGACAGCCTTTGGGGAAATCCATCTTGTCACACATCTTGGCACATACATGAAGTGAAGAATCCTCCACGGAGGTTCGTTCATATCGCCTCGGAAGTTTCCCGACCATATTTCAATCCTATCCAAACACGGCGAGACGGGCTTCCAACAGGGGGCTGCACATCTCCACGGAAAGTGGTGAATGAAAAAATGGATCCTCCTTCCGAGTCGTCTTTCGCTGACTCTCTCATCCGGTGGAACTACATACTTGTATGCTTGGTCCTCGTCTTGACACCCGGAAGATGTTGCCATGATTCGCAGTGCCAACACGTGGGGCAAGCCACCAGTCACTTTGGGGTCTGGGGGAATACCCATTCAAACAATATCTACTCGGTACCGAGTACAGGAAGCCAATCTTCTGTTTTTGCCATGAGTTTCTCCTCATCGAGCGCGAATCTTTAGGCCCTGACAGGCTAGCCGAGGATACTCGTCAAATTACCCCCCCTTTACCCAGTAACGCCAGTCTAGCTAAGACACTATCAGAGTCATCTTGTTCAGCCATCATCAGAGTCTGAGGAGCCAGTTACGAGAATCCTAACCGTTTGGAGACTTTGACCTCGGTGGGTTCCCCACAAACCTGGGGTATTCGAGACCTCATCCTCTACCCTCCACACTTCCGCCGGCGAAAGTCCGCAGGCTGGACTTTGAACCATCAGGCCACAAGCCAATCACTATCGCGTCCATGAACCTGGTTCTCGCTTCTGGCCTTGTCGCGACCCTTCCGTCTTGAGTTTAGACGATTCTACTGACCTGACATAGCTGCTTCCGCAGGTCTAGGCCTTGGCCACATCTCAAAGTCTGACCAGGAAAGCATGTTAGGAGATCCAATCAATTCCTGGACTGCTCCCTATCAGGACTGGATGCCTAGTGTTTTGTGACAAACCGTCTGCCTTTGTTTCTCTTAACTCGCAGAACAGTTGACACCACTCGATCATGTACCGAGTACCTCGTGGCTTGTCCCTGCAATCCGGCGTTTTCCAGCAGCACGCCCGAGGTCGAGATATAAAGCTCATGCACGCAGTCTGAATCGTGTCAGGCGGTTCTCCATTTCTTTCTATCTTCTGGTCAGAAGGCGCCTTTGTATTTGCAGAAGAGTCTCACAGCCTCAAAGTTGGGTATATACGTTTAATAGACGTTTTGTCTCATAATGGGGAAACTCATTCCCAATGCCTTTAATCTGGCAGTTGTCATCTTCGTCGCGCTGGGTTCGACGGCGTGCTCCTATGGAATGGCCATTATAGGGTAAGACATGCTCACTTTGTTTTGTATCAAGTCAACAGACTGACACGCATTCAGCTCTACGATAGGACAGCCGAGCTTCTACGAGTCTCTGAAACTTGCTCCCGCGGGCGAACCAGGCTATGGTCGAACCACTGAATATATCGGTGCTTTCAATGGTGAATTCCTCCAACTCGCATGCAGAGACAAGAAGACGTGCTGACATCCCGGTTGTCTAGGCGTGAACTCCGCTGGGTCTGCTATTGGCGCGGCAGCCTGTGCCTACTTCGCCGACAAGTATAGTCGCAAGCACACCATTCAAGTGGCAGCAGTCATCCTCGTTATCGGTGCAGCTATTTGCGCAGGCTCAGTAAACAATGCCATGTTCATGGTCGGTCGTGTCATCAACGGGCTTGGTGTAAGTCTCCAGGGATTCCCCGACGGCGTTGTGGGGCTCGATGATCCTGCTTCCATGTTAACCACCTTATATAGATCGGTGCTTTGGTGACGGCTATTCCCATGTACCAGGCCGAAGTGTCAACACCAGAAAGTCGCGGCTTCATGGTATCGATGCATGTAAGCGCTTTCAAACAGTTTCGTGGCTTATTCTGCCGTTACTGACGATCCATAGGGAGTTATGTTCGCCATGGGCTACACCCTTTCTGGGTTTATCGGCTTTGGGGTATACTTTGTATCGGCAAGCGGTTCAAAGTCATCATTCCCATGGCGATTCCCTATCGCATTCCAGATGGTTCCCGCCCTCCTCCTTCTCGTCGGCTCTCCGTGGCTGCCATACAGCCCTCGTTGGCTCATGATGCACAAGCGGTACGACGAGGCCCACGAAGTAATCAAGCGCCTGCACAGGTCGAAGGGTGATCCTCATGACTCTCTTGCCCGCAAGGAGTACTATCAGATGAAGAAGCAGGTTGAGTTGGACCATCAGATCAAAGCCACCACTTCCAAGTGGGAAGTGTTCAAGACAGCGCCCAACCGGAGACGGGCTCTCGTGGCCTTTTTACTCATGTGGAACAACCAGTTCACGGGAGTCTTGATCATCGCGAACTATGGAGTCATTCTCTACACTCAGCTCGGCATGACGGGTTATATGCCACTACTACTCAGTGCCTTATGGGTCTTGTCAACCGTAAGTCTCCCAGATCTGCGCCAGTTCTACTGTTCCGACACGCTAACGTATATTTATAGTTCCCTGGGAACATCTTCTGTGCCTTTTTCGTGGAAAGATTCGGCCGACGGAGATTCATGATCATAGGATTGAGTGGTATCCTCGTCAGTTTGATCTGTGAAATTGCAATCCAAGCAACCTACTTAGGCACCGACAACCATGTGGCGTTGGGATTCGGAGTCTTCTTCATATTCTTGGTGAGTTTTTGGCCCTCAATGAGCAACATCCATGTCTCGATATTACGCACCATGCATTTGCCTTTTGAGCTCCTTTTCTCACTGACCTCTCATTTGTAGTTCATTACACCCTTCTGGTCGACTTTCATGGACGCCAGCCAATTCCTCTATGTGTAAGTCTTCCTCTGTCGACCAATGTGGAGTCAATCCTGGTTACTGACATGGAATGGAAGGTCTGAAATATTCCCGACGCATATTCGTAGCCAGGGTATGGCTGTCGGTATGTGTGGTCTCTACCTGGCAGACATCATCCTGCTTGTTGCGGGTCCGATCGCGCTCAATAATATCGGCTGGAAATTCTTCTTGGTCATGATCATCCCTACGGCTTTCCACCTTGTCTTCGTCTACTTCATGTGCCCTGAGACCAAGGGCCGAAGCTTGGTATGTTCGAACATGATTCCTTTGGGTATCTGACTTTGTATTGACACGTACTCCAGGAAGATATCAATGCCCAATTTGGCGAGCAGGTTGCAATCCACTACTTTGGTGCCACCGAAGCTGAGAAGGAGGAGATGGAGAAGGCTGCGCAACAAGACGAGGAGAATGAACTTCGCCAACGGGCTCCCAGCACTGAGAAGGCCCGCGGAGTACAGGAGCAGGAGCTTGTGGAGCCCAAGGCCTGAAGAGGTGGACAAAGGTGGTCTTGAGCGGCGCCTGATGTCTGTTGGATGGATTCTCTGCCTATATCCTCGCTGCCGAGTCCAGCTGTATCTAAAACAACCCACAGGCGTCAACGCAGTCCACAATGCAAACTTGAGTACAGATAATCACATAGGTAGAGAGGAGAGGAAACTTATCTTAATGCTACTAGAAGAATGTAAGGCTGATGTCTGGCTAAATTGGGCTAGTGTAAACCTTCCGCTTTAAGCAGCGAGTCCTCGCGGTGCCGCGTCCTCTGGAGTATTGCGCATCACGAAAGCTGCCTTCACATCCGCTACTTGACCAACAGTGTTTTGTCTCTTCCAGCTTCTTCTCCCCGGTAAACACCATCTCTCTGTTTTGACAGCCCGATCATCAAGTCCTTCGATCAGCATCGATCCCCGCGTAATCAATTCATCTGGACTCGGTCGTCTTTTCGCAGTTACTATCCCCAATAACGGCTCTGCGCCTCCGCCGCAAGAATGCCCGGCTTCGACTTCAGCAACTACAATCGCAATGCAGCCCTCCATGCACGGGGTGTACCGTTACCAAAGGCAACTAGTACAGGGACAACTATCGTTGGGTGCATATTCGACAATGGTGTAGTGGTATGTGAGCAAATCTAATTTCAACAACTGCTCGTGAGAAGTGAGCACGCCTGACTAGCTGAGTAGATCGCCGCAGACACAAGAGCCACAAGCGGACCTATAGTCGCAGACAAGGTCAGTACACCCCTAACTATGGCTGGCGAAGCCAGTGACCATTTCTGACCTCGCGCAGAATTGTGAAAAACTGCATTATATCTCTCCCAATATCTGGTGCGCTGGTGCCGGCACTGCAGCAGACACCGAGTTCACCACCGCTCTCATCTCCTCCAACCTCGAACTACATTCCCTCTCCACAGGCCGCACGCCCCGCGTGGTCACCGTGA